GAAGGAAACCCATAACACCACAGAGCTGAAGAGGTTCTGTTCTGAGGAAGGGGCTAGAAGTACTACAAGCCCACCAGCAGTTACAAGAAACTTTACCTGCAGTTATTGCTGCAAAAGGGGGTCACACCAGATACTGAAAACAAGCAAAGATTCACATACTCTTGCACCGCACAGAAATGTAACACTGGATCATTTTTCTCAATAAATAAATGGCAAAGAAAATATTTTTGTCTCATTTGTTTGTTTGGGTTATCTTTGTCTACTTTCAGGACTTGTGTGAAATTTTGATTATGTTTTGAGTCCTATTTATGCAGAAATATAGAACATTCTAAAGGGTTCACAAACTGTGCAAAGCAGCACTGTATATATATATATATATCCTATGTAAACAAGTAATTGTTAACTATGATGTTACTTTATTGCACCAACTTTGCATAGATGATAGCACAAAAGACCATTTCACAAAAATAAATGTATAAGCCAACAAACAAATAAATAAACCTTATGAATGAGCATGACCTGGGACTCTACTAAAACAGTTCACGCTTCACCCCACCCCCATGTTCAAACCAAAACTACGCCCTTGCATGACACACGCTTTCTTGTGGTTTCACTGTACTGTAGTGTCCACGTGGCTTTACAACGGACATCTAAAATAACAGGAAGTGATAAACACACAGAGTCGTCCAGTCACCTTCACTTCTATAGCACTTCTGTAGATCGTGTCAAAGCAGCTTTACAGTGTTAAACAGGAAAATAGTGTCAACAATGTAAACAAAATTCAATTCTGCTGTAGAGCATCTTTAAAAAGAGGACAATAGTAAACAGTCAATTTTTCAGTTAAAGTCTGTTCACACACACACTCACACTCACACACACACACACACACACACACACTCACACTCTCTCTCTCTCACACACACACACACACACACACACACTCACACTCTCTCTCTCTCACACACACACACACACACACACACACTCACACTCTCTCTCTCTCACACACACACACACACACACACACACTCACACTCTCTCTCTCTCACACACACACACACACACACACACACTCACACTCTCTCTCTCTCACACACACACACACACACACACACACTCACACTCTCTCTCTCTCACACACACACACACACACACACACACTCACACTCTCTCTCTCTCACACACACACACACACACACACACACTCACACTCTCTCTCTCTCACACACACACACACACACACACACACTCACACTCTCTCTCTCTCACACACACACACACACACACACACACTCACACTCTCTCTCTCTCACACACACACACACACACACACACACTCACACTCTCTCTCTCTCACACACACACACACACACACACACACTCACACTCTCTCTCTCTCACACACACACACACACACACACACACTCACACTCTCTCTCTCTCACACACACACACACACACACACACACTCACACTCTCTCTCTCTCACACACACACACACACACACACACACTCACACTCTCTCTCTCTCACACACACACACACACACACACACACTCACACTCTCTCTCTCTCACACACACACACACACACACACACACTCACACTCTCTCTCTCTCACACACACACACACACACACACACACTCACACTCTCTCTCTCTCACACACACACACACACACACACACACTCACACTCTCTCTCTCTCACACACACACACACACACACACACACTCACACTCTCTCTCTCTCACACACACACACACACACACACACACTCACACTCTCTCTCTCTCACACACACACACACACACACACACACTCACACTCTCTCTCTCTCACACACACACACACACACACACACACTCACACTCTCTCTCTCTCACACACACACACACACACACACACACTCACACTCTCTCTCTCTCACACACACACACACACACACACACACACATTTCCAAAGGAATAAAATACAATCCACCTCTGAGGATCTCACATACAGTTTCAGGTTTAAGGCAGAAAACAAATTAGTACATCTGATGTGTGTGTGTGTGTGTGTGTGTGTGTGTGAGAGAGAGAGAGTGTGAGTGTGTGTGTGTGTGTGTGTGTGAGAGAGAGTGTGTGTGTGTGTGTGTGTGTGAGAGAGAGTGTGTGTGTGTGTGTGTGTGTGAGAGAGAGTGTGTGTGTGTGTGTGTGTGTGAGAGAGAGTGTGTGTGTGTGTGTGTGTGTGAGAGAGAGTGTGTGTGTGTGTGTGTGTGTGAGAGAGAGTGTGTGTGTGTGTGTGTGTGTGAGAGAGAGTGTGTGTGTGTGTGTGTGTGTGAGAGAGAGTGTGTGTGTGTGTGTGTGTGTGTGTGTGAGAGATAGTGAGTGTGTGTGTGTGTGTGTGTCAGATTGATCTCTTCACTGTCAGCATCATCAGATCTCATTACTGTCTCTTTTCACACTGATAATGAGTCTCAGACACTGCCAAGATGGACAGAATGAGAGACAGAAGCAGACAGATGAGTCAATGAAGGACAAATATAACATTTGCTTGAGTTTGATATAGCACTGTTATTTTAGTGTATAATTTATTTATTCTTTAATGCTACTTGCCATTTATTTTTAATTCCCCCCCACCACCACCACAGTGTAATTTTGAATAATTTTTACTTTTGTAGCATGCCATCAAAACTCCCCAGTGTGAGTTTTTCTCAGATTTGTAAGTAAAAACACACACAGCTTCATTCAACAGAGCCTACAGACATGTGATCAAACACAGGGAGTCCACACACAGCTGCCATGACAACAACACACGTGTGTGTGTGTGAGTGAGAGAGAGAGTGAGTGTGTGTGAGAGAGAGTGTTGAAAACAGTTGTGCTACACAATATTTTTCTGGTAATTGTGATACATTTTATTTTTCAGGATTCACAGATGAATAGAAAGTTCAAAACAGCAGCATTTATTTGAAATAGAAATCTACTGTAACATTATAAATGTCTTTACTGTCACTTTTGATCAATTTAATGCATCTTTGATGAATAAAAGTATTAATTTCTAAACTATTGAATAGTAGTGTACCACAATTTACACAAAAATATTGTGCAGCACAACTGTTTTCAACATTGATAATAATCATAAATGTTTCTCGAGCAGCTAATCAGCATATTAGAATGATTTCTGAAGATCATGTGACACTGAAGACTGGAGTAAAGAGCCACCACACACAGACGTGTCAAGGAATTTGGCTACAGTTGTCGTATTCCTCTTGTTAAGCCACTCCTGAACCACAGACAACGTCAGAGGCGTCTTACCTGGGCTAAGGAGAAGAAGAACTGGACTGTTGCCCAGTGGCAGAGGCGGACTTACCCATTAGGCAAAGGTAGGCGACCGCCTTGGGCCCCCAAAAGCCAAGGGCCTCCTAAAATGCTTTTCATATAGGATATGCATATTAAGCGCGGACACGCGAACGTTTGCTGTTTACGGTGTTTATTACCACAACATCCGTCCGAGTCAGTGGCGCCTGCAGGTGTACGGCTGTACTGTGAGTCATGAGCGCTCAGACTGATCTGAGATCTGCCGCGCAAACATTTCAGCAGTTATTATAGGCCTGTGTGTCCCGTATTTCTGTCGACTGAACCCATGCCGTTAATTATGAATTTATCAGTCTTTTGCATGCCAAAGTCAATTTCTGCATAGAAATATTACGCCAAATAGAAGCAGAAAATCGTGCTATACGCACTTTCATGAGATCGGGTTAGCCTACAACAATGAATTTGTTGGCTATTTTACAAATGAGAATACAACGAGTTCATGACAATGTTTACATTCAAGCTGCCCGTAAAATTTATAGTGAAAAGTACTTTAAAAGCGTCTGGAATGCAATAAAGTAATTTTAAAGCTGTTTTTTAAAGCATTTGCTGCATGGATACAAAAATATCAATAATTAACATATCATACAAAATTGCGTTGCAGCAAATCCTTTAAATTTTAAGGTATTCAGAACAGAGCAACATAAAAAGCAGCTATACAATTAAGCTATACAATTATAAGACAAAGTTTTACATATATGCCATTATAATTAGGCCTAGTGTTTTATTTTTTAACTGTACGGAATTATAAACTTTCCAACAATTCACTAAAAATGTTTTTATGAAGTATTCTATTTTATGTTCTTATGAAGTATTCTAATTTGTTGAGATTGTGAATTGGTGGGTTTTTGTTAAATGTGAGCCAAAATCATCACAATTAAAAGAACCAAAGACTTAAACTACTTCAGTCTGTGTGCATTGAATTTATTTAATACACGAGTTTCACAATTTGAGTTGAATTACTGAAATAAATGAACTTTTCCATGACATTCTAATTTATTGAGATGCACCTGTATATTAATTGTTCCTAATGTTTGATCAGCGTAAAAAATCACAAGTACTAACTTAGTCACAAACGTTTCCTTAAATTCATTAGAAGAAATCAGACACAAGTTAACATTTGTCATACAGTAAGAGTAAATAGATATATAACTACTGTGAATATAAATATGAACGTTGCTCATCATATTCTCCATATTCAATACAGTTCATGCAGACTTTAACAAATTTGAGCACAATTTAAGCTTTTTTTCTGACGAGAAATGTAAATATTTTTTATATTATTCAATTATATATTTTAATTGCATTGATTATATTTAGTTTTATCTTGAAGAAATATATTAGATGTTAAAGAGAGCTTTGTTTTTCTTTTTCATATGGGCAAAGTTAGAAAACAAATGACCATTTATGTTTTGCAAACTATGTACATTAAAAAAAATCATTCTTCAAAAAACCTGTCTTTGCCTCTTTCACAATGTTCTTTTTCAGCTGATGTCATGTTGCTCATTGTGACATGGAAGGTCATTTTTCTCCATGTTTTCACTAAAATAACTCATTTTATGCAAACACATTTTCCTGTCGTCTCAATGTCTTTCTCTGGCAGTTTTTGTTGTAATAAACAAAAGACACACAGCAGAGCTCCAAAAACACAGGCAGTAATTGGTTTTTAATTCTTCGGTACTACATTCATTCATTCATTGAACTCTAGTGTCGTACAGCATATCAACATCGGCACCCTCTGTGTGTCTGGAGACAAACTGCATGCATACATAAGGTCAGGGGTCAGAAATCATAATCATAACTCAAAATCATTTACATCAGTGTAACCAAATTAGTCATAATCTGTATTTAGCACTTCATTGGGCTGTGTGTGTGTGTGTGTCAGTTGTTCCCCTCGTCGTCGCTGTGCTCGGCGCGCTCGTCTTTGCTCTCGTTGAGTGAGCTCTCGTCGATGTTCTCCAGAGATTCGGCGTGTTGGATGGAGAGTTCGGACAGCGGGATGCTGGACAGTGGGTTCTGCTCCGGGAATAACCACGGCTTAAAACCCGGACTGTGCTTCTGCTTCCACTCGGGATAACGAAGACACGCTTTACTGATGCGCTTCATCGCCTGAGAGACACACACACACACACACACACACACACACAGATGTTATGAAAAATTAGGAAATAAATTAATAAACAAACAATGGACAATTAGATTAAAACAAATAAATTTATAAAAGTAGATTAAAATAAGTAATTCAACACATAAAAATTGGTCAAAATAAATTATAGAACATGATTACAATAAATATTCAAACTAAATAATTAAATTTTAAATAAAAAATTTTTATTATAATAAACAATAAAAATTTTTATTGAAATTTACATTTACATTTTTTATTTGGCAGACGCTTTTATTCCAAACAACTTACATTTGAAAATAAAATAATAATAATAAAAAAGTGATATTTAAATAACTTAAACACTCTCACACACACACACACACACACACACACACACACACACTCACACACTGTCTCTCTCTCACACACATACACACACACACACTCACACACTCACACACACACTCAC